TGTTTTGTATTTTGTTCTTTATGTTCCTTATTTGATTTCCCCTTGTGACTTTACCCCTTCTGTGTATCTGTGAGCCCTCGTCTCCCCTCCTTGTGTTTTATTCCATGTTTCCTCAGCCCGTTATGTCTGTGCTGTCCCAGTGTTCTCTACTCCCCTCCTGTCTGCACCTCTGTGTACTTCCTGTTTTACTTTGACAGTCTCCCGTCAGTGTTGTGTTTGCTCCTGCCGTGTCTCATTATAATTATCAGTGTCACCTGTGTTCCCCGTGTGCTCCCACTTCCTTCGTTAACCCTCTGTGTATTTATTAGGGGTGCAACGATACACAAAATTCACGGTTCGGTTCGATACTTTGGTGTCACGGTTCGATATTTTTTCGATACAAAAAAATGTTCATGCCCTTGTAATTTGTCATTTATTAAAATTATAAATATATATTTTAACTCAAAAGTACAGTTTTTAAATTTAACCCTAACCGTTGTGCGTGTTTGACAGCGAATGCGCACCTGCGGACCACTTATGTGCAGCCCTGGTTATTTAGCTCATCATATCGCAGCCACAGAAATTCTTTTGTCCATGAAACCATAAAGCTGCACTTTCTTTTTGCCTTATATTCTGATTTGTCATAACTTCTCCGTTTTGTGGTAAGCTTTTCTTTGGCTGTCACTTCTTCACCCTGACCTGTCTTATTTGGCTCAGCAGAACTAAAATATATATCCTGCTGCTTTTACACACGCACTCACATAAGCTCAGCGATTCTCTGCGCGATCAACCTCTCACATGTTTAAGCTTGCTGCGGGAGATTTCACTTGTCATGTTTGCATAGTAAGCTAACGATTAATAAGACGATGTCAGAGGAATTGGTGCACAAATTATCATCACTCACAGATCAGTGCTGTCGCTCTCTATACACAGTTCGCATGATTGCAAAGTGAAAGCAAAAAAACAAGCGCAAATTCAAACGCGATTTCAATATGTCACATATTGACAGTGGCTCACCGATGCCAATGACATAATTACCCAGCTACATTTCTGAAAGAATGCAAAAGCATTGACATATATTTTTCCTTCCTACAATAGCCCGACGGGCAGGGCAGAGATAGATTCTGGTAGCCCGACTGAAAAAATCGCTAGCCCCGGGACGTCGGGCTAGCGATATTGCAAGCCCTGTATCTGATTGAAGAATCACTCATCTTTGGAAAAGAGAGTTTATTACAGAGAAATGTCTCTTTCCAAAATAAAAGCTATACTATCCGCTTCTTCTGGGCTATATTCTCAGCAGCATAAGGAGAATCATGTGCTAACAGCTGTCTAAATGACTCGGCTAAAGGTTGTAGCATGCTTGCTTGTTTTTTTTCTGCTTCCACTTGTCTTTGCACGAGGATGATGTCGGCGTAAATGTGCAGTCATTTTTGTTGTGTTCCCACTAGTGCTTTCAGGTTAATCTCGTTGAAATGACCTTAAAGCCACAACACGGCAAATCTCCGTTAACGAGCTACCGCCGATCGCCCCGTGCGTGGGGCTAGACGGCCAACACGTTAACGAGCTAACTGCGCTAACACACTAGTTCCCACCCATGTAATTGAGCATTGCATGGCACATCCAACATACTGTTTTACTTTAGTCCATGACTCGCTTACCTTCAGGGTCATACGTCACATGAAAACCAAAATAATTCCAAATGCCAGATCTGAATGAGGGTGGGGGAGGTCCATCTTGCAAGGAGAGCTTAACTTCTGTCTCGCTAGCTTGCCCTGTGCTCTTCCTTCTGACGATGCTGTCTGTGTTGAGTGCTCAGTGAATCTGCATTCGACTACTCCGCCTAGGCTGCACTGTCGAGCCTAGGCGGAGTAGTCGAACGCAGATTCACTGAGCACTCAACACAGACAGCATCGTCAGAAGGAAAGTTGATAAAATAAATTACAAATGTTGTATTGTTCGATATATGCGTACCGAACCGAAAGCACTGTATCGAACGGTTCAATATCGATACGAATATCGTTGCACCCCTAGTATTTATGTCCGTGTCTCTCTCAGTTCTGTGTTGTGTTCTCCCTCATTCATGGCTGTGTGTTTCTCTGTGTAATACTTTATAGTGTCCCAGTTTAGTTTGTATGGCTTTGCTCTCCAGAAATAAAGCTTTGAGTTCATTCCTGCCTCCGTGAGTTTGTGAGTGGGTCCTTATCCTGCCTGCACGCTTTATCACAATATGACTTTGCCCCAGTCCTCAGACATAATGATCTCCAGCCTTGTGCTCATCAACATTCTCACCTGAGTTAACAAGACGATTACTGAAATGGTCTCAGCAGGTCCTTTAATGACAGAAATAAAAAGCAGTGGAAAGGGATGTTTTGGGATTAAGTTAATTTTCATGGCAAAGAAGGACTATGCAATTCATCTGATCACTGGATCATTCTGGAGTATATGCAAATCCCTATTATAAAAACTTAAGCAGCAACTTTTCAAATTTCCAATATTTATGTAATTCTCAACACTTTTGACCATGACTGTATGCCCAGGCTTCTAGCATCTTTCACCCTGCTGTTATGTGCTGGACAGCCAATACTCCAAATCACATCTAAACACAAACTACTGGTTTTCATGCACTGTGGGGTGCAACCCTAAAAATTTGACTGGACATTATTTTGAATTTTCCCCCATTAAACCAGAGTTAAAAAAATTTTTTAATTGAATTGAGTTTGTTCATATTGTAAGATTACTTTGATTATAAAGAAAATGGTAATAAGGTACGTGAGTTATTTAAAGGCTGGATGGTTTAAAAGGTTATAAAACAGGTTATTTTAAAACTGCATTCCTCTTGTTTGCTTTGTCCATTTAACACATTAATTCAATAATGTCATGGCATCATACTAAATAGAGTAGTGTTGGCTTGCCATTGAAGATTCATAGTTTACAAAATAAGTATTTAAAATTTATAAGACCAAAATCATAAGCTTTTATGTTGTTAATTAAAGACCTTTCAATTTCACTTTGACTTATTAAGTCAATTTTTTTTAACAAAATGCAAAAGTAGGAGAAAAAGGTGCAAAGTAGACATCTATTTTTTTTTGTTTTTACATTACCTTAAAGGCAACTCAAATAGACACGGTCTATTTTAATTAATTATTTGTTTTCAGTAGTGACCCTGGCTTCAGTGACACAAGATAGTTGAACTGAACCATGATGATCTTTATTAATAGGCCAATAAAGAAATAATAATCAAAATAACCAAACTCACCCTTAATACTTAGTTGAATAATTTTTCAATCGTATTAGAGGCGCACAAAAACTTTTAAAGTAACAGAAGCTAATCAAATCAATCAAGATGATAGAAATGTAATATTAATCACTTATCTGAATTCTCCTTTAGCTTCCTTGAATGCCAAAACTTTTCAGAGCTAAATTCAGAAACATCCACCTTCATCCATATGATCACTATGACCCAAGGAGAAGTGAATGTTGAGATAATGTTCTTTTGCATGAATCAGCTGATTCTCAGAGGGTTAGGTCAAAGCTCCTTTCCAATTTGATTATTGAAATTAACATGAAATTGTTTAGGCCACAATCAATAGGTTTACTCTTCATAAGAACTATATGGAAATGTTTTAATAATGGATCCACGTGGATAATGGAGGGGGGACACAGGCAGCTGTAGCCATTTGCTGTCCCCAAGCCAACTGGAGTGACCAAACTGGACTTCTTGGTTGTGTTTTTCATATAGGTACCTTTTGGAACATTTTGATGGGATTAACTGACAAATAATATATTGAGTTTTCTGTCACAGATCTTTCAGGAAGTTCATTCTTCAGTTTTGGTCGGCAAAACTGTACTTTTTGGCTTCTGGAACTACTTAAACTGCATCTTTGTAGCTCAGGAAATTTTCTGGATCAAGCTTGTTAACCAAGTGAGCTACTATTAGATAGCTTACACCCCATCTTTTAATCCAAATATGGTCACATTTGAGAACATCAGCAACAGCCACAACTTCAATGATCCACAAACCAGTTAGTTGTGTCATGGTGATTACCAGTGTTGGGAAGTAATGGAATACATGTACCGCCGTTATGTATTTAAAATACAAAATATGAGTAACTGTATTCCGTTACAGTTACCGTTTAAAAAGGTGGTATTCAGAATACAGTTACTTTGTTGAAATAAATGGATTACACTGCAGTACTTTCCTGCTTCATATTGTCACGGATCAGGACAGTTTGGATTTTGTTTGTCCTGTTGTTCCAGGCGGCAGAGTTACGGTTGCCATGGTTACAGGGTGACGCTCTCTCTCTGCGTGTTTTCTGGGTGAGAGAGCGCCTTTTTGTTGTTGTTGTGCTAAGCTAATAGGCAGACTGCTACAGGCATAGCCCTAAAGAATGTAGCCTCATGGGCAGTGTAGTCCGTGTTGCAGGGAGAATGGACTGCCATACACGTTATGTTTCTGTGAGCAAGAGGAGGGAGAAAAAGGAGAGTGGAAAAGTACGAGCTGTCACCGAGCAGAAACGGTGTTTTCTGTAATCTGTAATGGAATACATTTTAAAAGTAGCCTTTCCAACACTGGTGATTACATCCATCTTTATTGTAGTATATGGATACAGCAAAGATCCATAGACTTCAGTACAAATGTGTACTGTTTATAGGTATTAACGAGTCTTTACAGCTAAGCTGTCAAATTTTCTCAATTTACGCAACTATCATACATCATCTAAAACCATCAAAACCAACTCCCACCTATGCGTAGTTGTAGTACATTTTTTAACTAATATTAGTAATACAACAATATTGGAAATAAATGCTACTACTAATAAATAGAATAGCATAGACTAACCCTTTAATGTTGCTGTAAATACACAACAAAATGTTGGATGCTCAATGCCAACTGTGCAGGAATCAAATATAAATAGTAAGACAGCAGAATAAATTTTTAAAAAAAAAAACGAGAAATATATACAATCAAGAAGAATTTATTAAAAAAAACAATAGCAAAGCACACATTGGACTTGGTTTGAATTTAGAGGCTGTATGTGAGTGGCCTGAGTGTGTGGGGTGATACTGTTGACAGTCTGAATGGTCTTGGGGAAGACGCTGTTAGTGAGGCGCCAACCGGGAGCAGCCGGTCAAACAGGTGGTGGGTGGGGTAGAGATGACCTGTGATAGCAGTGATTTTTCTGAGACAGGAGGATCTGTTGATGGTCTCCAGGAGTAGCAGTGAACAGCCAGTTATTTTGGGGGACAGCGTTAATTACCTAGTGTGTAGCCTTCCTGTTCTCAGTGGTGGCCCCTGTGTACCAAACATGAAGTAGAAGCTTTTTCCTCAGCACAAGATAGAAGTGCAGCAACTGCTGGGATGTCTTTATCAAGGTGTCAAGATGAGATCAGTGGAGATGTGGCTGCCCAGAAACCTGAAGGTGGAGGCAAATTTTACCCGTTCCTCATTTATAATCAGGTAGAAGTGGACCTAAAGTCCATTATGAGTTGTTTTGTTTGAAGGACATTAAGCTTCATGCTATTTTCTGAGCACCAGCAGGACAACTTCTCTGCCTCTGCCCACAGCACAGGGCGGAGGCCCCTATCCTGAATTTTTTTCCCCCCTACAACATGACAGTTTTCCTGCTTTGTGCAAATACAACAGAGGAAGAACCAGACGGCTGGGTACACTCAACCAAACAGATGATTCCATCAAAGTGCATGAGTCTTTGTTAGCAATCAATGACATATTTCTTATCACATAACAAATCATCAACCCAAAAAATCTCAGCAGGAGCACTGCTGTTATCACCATGATCATGTAGAAAGCCTTGAGCTTTGATTGGTCAACATGCTCCTTGTTGTGGCCCACATCCCCTGGTCTTGGAAGATTGAGAACATGAAGAACAGATAGGCAGCAAAAAACAACAATCACCATGCAGACACCCAAGTAGGACAGAAGTAGCATATTTGAAAATTGATACCCAAACAATAAATGTATCCCCAACCATGCAACCCACTGCAGCCACGCACAAACAGCACAGATGTTTCTAATCCTGACACCATGTGATTGGCGCAGATGCATATAGGTGATGGGGTGAACAACAGCCAGGTAGCGCTCCAGACAGGTCAGGACATGAAACAAAGTCTCTACAGGAAGAAGGATGGTAAACATATACATTCCAACATAAATCATTGTTATCTTATTGGTATAACCACCCAGGGTGTAGAAGACTGATCCAAAAGCTCCAAAACTCTCCACCCACATCATGTTGTAGGTGAAGAAGTTGGAGTTGGTCGTTGTTGCCCCTGCATGTGCAGATTTCTGACACCACTGTTGGAAGCCCATGTAGAGGATGAAGATGTAGAGTGGAAGGAAGAGGAGGATGGTCATGGAGGTGTAGATGGTGTAGAAAACTTTGCTGACTTTTGAATCCTGGCATTTTGACTCAAACGAGTTAACGGAGGAATTTAAGGATGAGAGAGAGGAGGAAGTGTTGATGAACATGACCTATGGAAGACAGCAAAGGAAAAAAACAGTAACATATGGAATAATTTATTGTTGTTTAGAAAACACAGTAAAGTTTTGCATATGCTGACAATGGTCGTGTTTTTAACCAAGCCAGCATCTGTGCTCCTGCAGGAACAATTCATAGAAATGAATTTCTAACATTTTTTAGTTTGTACTGTTTCCTTTGGGGATTTGTCTTTCACACTATCGTGTTTTGACAGTAGCCCGGTAGCGGCTACCTGAGAGAAAAGTCTTCATATATGAGGATGAAAGAGGAGGCTGAATAATAATACAAAAACATGGTGGGTGGCTGTAGCTCAGGTGGCAGAGCAGGTCAGCCACTAATCAGAAGGTCGGTGGTTCGATCCCAGGCTGCCTCCTGGCTGCATGTCAAATATCCTTGGGCAAAATACTAACCCCATGTTTGCCTACTGGTGGCGGTCAGAGGGCCCGGTGGCACCAGTGTCTGGCAGCCTCGCCTCTGTCAGTGCGCCCCAGGGCAGCTGTGGCTACAATGCCATCACCAGTGTGTGAATGTGTGTGTGGATGGCTGAATGTAGTGTGAAGCGCTTTGGGGAAAAGCGCTATACAAATGCAGGCCATTTACCATAAAACATATTAATAATAACGAAGAAAGAAGTCACTTCTTAACCTCTTAAGATGCTTCAGGTTATTCGCAACTGAAGTTATGACTAAGCTTCAGGTTTGATTTTAACTAACATCTACATCTTTCTTGTAGATGTTACCTTTTGAAAATGTTTCCCTTTTGAAACATTCATACTTTCTAATCATATATTTTTCTAGTTTAAAGTTTTTGGAAATGTTTCATTTTTGGAAGAGTTTTTAACAAAAAAAACCTGCATGGACGAAAAGTCTAAGACCTTATGTCAAATGTCACATCTTTTAGATTTCATGCAATTTAGCATGAAAAAACCCATTCCTAGCCCAATAGATGGTTCAACAAGGCTGTGGTAGTTGTTAAACAGTATATCAAATGTAATATTAAATGCTTTAAATACCTTAAAAGAACGAGGGTTCTTTGCATGTTAGAAAACTATAATATGCTTTTAGTGCCTCAGGTGCAGAGGGTTTTGTGTATAAAACTAAATGCATTAATGATGCATACTCACATTCAATAATATTATTGTAGAAGTGTTGGAATTATTTTTTTCTGTTAGAGTACTTTTTGAGCTATACATCTGTTTTGTGCAGCTTTGAGTTTTCTCTGTACTACATACAATTTAAGGTTCCTTGAGGAAACTGTTGATGTGATATGAATTGAATTCAAATTGATTTGAGTCTAGTCAGCTAAAAATCAACTTTGTTTCAGCAAATTTAATCAGTTAGTAAAGAAATTATATTAGTATTTTATAACATAATATTACTTCATTTTTGTGTCAGTTTGCTCTAATAGCATATTATAGTATGTTGCCATTCATGTTGGCTGTATTATAGGTTTGTGTATTCTCTTTAGTACATTGAGAGCAAATAAAAAATGAAGGTATGTGTCACACACTTGGTCAATAAATCTGATTCTGATTTTGACAAGATTCCCAACAACACCACTGGCTAACATGCAGCTTCAAACCATGACGGCAGCATGTTTTACATGTTGTACCTCTCTCCTGAACTCCACCATATATTTTACTAACAAGCTATAGATTAATCCACTGATGCACCAGATGCATCTTTCAGGATATGTGTCAAGTTGTTGTTGGATGCTTTCCTATTTCTTAAGAACTTGACTTTAAGAAACTGTTGTACCTTTTAGGTCTGCCACGTCCTCTTTTGTCTGTCCACTTGTCCACAATTTTTTTCACATTTCTAAAAACACACTACACATCACGTTAAAATATAACACTACTTTTTGGATCCTTTGGGAATAACCTCGTTGGTGTAACAGTGCTATTTTAAACGGTGTCATCTTTGGTGGTTTTCATAGATTCAGAGGTAAAAAAAAAAAGTACCTAGATTGGTTCTTTTGTAAGTTCTATGTTAAGTCTAGACAAATATATCCTGTGAGTCAGGTGCCTTTTTATGCTTGAATGATTCATAGTTGAGTATTAATTGGCTCTTACAAAATAAAACCTAAATTGAAACCAACATATATGAAGAATATATAATTTTGAACAATAGTATTTGTTGAATACTAATTTCAAATTAATCAACCTCCTAAAAATCTCAAAAGCTACTCACCTGAATCTCCATGTAGCTCAGCCAGTTGCTTCCTTTAATGCCAACAAGTGTCGTCTTCAGCACAGCTGAACCAGAAAGAATCCACACACGCTCATCTAACACGCATTACATGATATTCAAAACTGTTGATTAGGTCACTGCTGGTGTTTTGCATATCAGGACTGGACACCTGCCTTACAGTCACAGTTCATCGCGTATATCTTAATATAATATACAGCAATACAATATCATTTAAAACATTGACTGGTCGCATTGTTGTGATTACCTTTGTGACTTAGGAAATGATTGGTTGTATTGGACTAGTCAGATTCTCAAAGGCTTGACTCAGATTTTTTTCTTTCTGAGTCATCTGGATACTGCAGAGAGGCTGTGGTGAATTTGACATTGACCGGTGTCCTTGCAGAAGCTGTTGTCACCAATTCCTATCTGCTAGTTACTCCACTAACCAGAGCCACTGAACTGGAATTCATGATTGTGTTTTCCATATTTGTGCCTGGTGGGAAAAAAAACAAAACATTAAATTGCTTGCTATAATACATCCAACTTTTTGGTACAGAGCCACGGAAAGTTCATGTTGTGCACTGGGGAAAAGGTTTATTTGGTGGCTTTTTAACAATATTTAGTCTACATCTTAGTGGATCGTCCATTTTTCTGCCTCAGCAGATAGCCCACAATCCAGCCTGTGCTCCAAATATTTTCACATTTGGTTTGAAAACACAAGACGGCCGCAGAAAAGACTTTGATTTAGAGTCCAGAAACAAATGTGGTGGCTACATTAATCTTTATTACAGTGTATGGCAGCGGTGGGAAGCTCTAGTCACCGAGAGCCGGTATCATGCAGCTTTTAGATATATCCTTGATCCAACACAGCTGATTTAAATGACTAAATTACCTCCTCGACATGTCTTGTATTTCTCCAGAGGCCTGGTAATAAACTAATCATTTGATTCAGGTGTGTTGACCCAGGGTGATATCTAAAATCTGCAGGACACTGGCCCTTGTGGCCTGGAGTTACCCACCCTTGGTTCATGGGTACAGCTAACATGTGCAGAATTCAGCGCAGACAGTTCACAGGTAATAATGCTAACTTGCACAACAATCGCATTATATCTGAATGCACAATTATTATTGAGAAGGAATAAAACTCTCTATGAACAGTTAGTTACTAAAGACCTCTGACCAAGTAAACGAACATATTAGTGGAAAGTATAGTACAAGTAATAAATGTAATAGCACTGTTGGGTTTTTGTAAGTACTTTAACTTCATTGTAGGGTATTTATGTTACAATATAAGGCCTCTTTTCTTTTATCAAACCACCCTAATCCTACAAACACTTACCGATCTACAAACAAAACCACCTTTCAATGCTTAAAATCACTGCACAGTACAAGAATTACATTTATTAACATAAGCAGGCATCCTCTGAGCAAAAACGTTACCACCATGAAATTCACTCCATTTTTGAAAGCTGAAACCTTAACCATTAATTACTTACCTAATGAGTATACAGTCTTTCAGGCTTGTTATAATTCATAAAATTCTAATAGTTTAAAATCTAATCAATCCATAAAACTCTTGAGTCCTCTGACTCTCTATCCTGATCCAGTTTACTTTACACAACATAGTTTTTTTGCTCTGTGCAGAAACAGCAGAGGAAGAACCAGACTGCTGGGGACAGATAGCAAGTTTGCTACTTCCCACATCACACATAAAACTTTCATGTCCATCAGTGATAATTGTTCTATGCCAGAACAAATCAGAATGCCAGAAAATTTCAGCAGCAGTGCTCCCATAATGACCACGATCATGTGGAAAGCTCGTTGCTTTGACTGATCAATACGTTCACTGTTTTGACGCACCTCCCCCGGTCCTCGGCGAATCAGAACATGGAGAACAGACAAACAGCAGAAAATAATGACCACTAAGCTGATACCTGAAAATGCTAGTTGTAGTTTGACCGATTCCTCAACAGACTGAATTATCCCGTACCATCCAATGTTCTGCACCCAAACACACACAGTGATGATGTTTCTTATCTTGACCCCGTGTGTTTCCCGTAGACGCATGTAGGTGATGGGGTGAACAACAGCCAGATAGCGCTCCAAACAGGTCAGCATGTGAAACATAGTCTGTCCAGGAAAACTATTATCAAACAAGTGCTCCCCAGTAGACTTGATTATCATCCTGTTGGTAAAAGTGCCCACAGTACGGAGAAGTGTTCCAAAAACAACAAACAGCTCCACAATAATCATGTTGTATGTGAAAAAGTCAGAGTGGCTCATTGTCGTCCCTGCAGGTGCATTGTGCCGATGCCTCCGACGCTGAAAGCCCGTGTAGAATATGAAGATGTAGAGTGGAAAGAGGAAGGTGTTTGCGATGGTGAAACTGGTGAAAAGGGCCACGCCTGTGGGACATTCGGATGAAGTGGCGGAGCTTAAAAGGCCGGAGACATCACTGAGAACTGAGGAAGAGTTGATGAACATGGTCTGTTGAAGACGCCAAGAATAAATATGTTTGATCATTTAATACTTTCCAGCAGTTTCAACATGCAACACTATATCACTTATTCTGATGATGTTCATGTTTGTAACTGATCCTTACAAAATCATCAATTCTCCTGAAAGAAACACTCAACAGTAATATGTTCTTGTCAGTGCTGCGTTTAATTAGTGCCATTTCCTACAACTTCAAATTTTCACATATATCACCTTGGTGCACTCAAATCAGAGGAAGATGCTAACCATCGCACAAAAAGTTGTACTTCTGGACATGCTAAAGGAAGGTAGTTTTTGGACTGTAAGGCACACGGGTTTATGAAGCCCATTACGTGAAAAAAAAACAGTCAGATAAGTCAGACTTTACTCAACTCATTCTTCTTGCTTCCTCTACTTTTATACCATTGATTCATTAATGTTGAATTCTCTCACACCTGCTCTATTCTCATGTTCTGGACCTGAAAACAGGGTTTGATCTTTGGTTTCATCCTATAATATCCATCCATCCGCTTATCCTTTTCAGGGTCGCGGGGGCGCTGGAGCCTATCCCAGCTGTCATAGGGCGAGAGGCAGGGTACACCCTGGACAGGTCACCAGTCTGTCACAGGGCTAACACAGAGACAGACAACCATTCACACTCACATTCACTCGCACATTCACACCTAGTGGCAATTTGGATTAATCAATTAACCTATCCCCACAAGTTGCATGTCTTTGGACGGTGGGAGGAAGCCGGAGTACCCGGAGAGAACCCACGCAAACACGGGGAGAACATGCAAACTCCACACAGAAAGACCCCGGCCTGATGGTGGAATTGAACTCAGGACCTTCTTGCTGTGCGGCAACAGTGCTAACCACTGTGCCACCGTGCTGCCTCACTATATAAACCATTAAACTTTTTTTTTTTTTTTTTTAGCATTTTACTTATTTTGAAACTGCAGTTCTTATCAAAACATGGACAACTGCATTTATTTTTCTACAAAGGTTTAAACTTTGAGAGTGTTTAAACACGAGACAAAAGTGTGAAAATGTTCAAGGTTGTCTGAGAAAAGTGTATAAAGTGTGTCGTGAGGGGTTTTACAGCCTTAAAACATCTATAATAATTGTAAAAAATACATTAAAGTTGGCTACTTTGCAGATTTCAACTATCGCTGGTTATTTTTAGAACATAACTCCCACCTTAAACTAGGGATCACTGTATTTATTGCAACATGATATGGAAAAAAATAAAAATCAAATTGTAAGTCTTAATAACTATCAAGATTAAAAGGGCGACCGTGGCTCAAGAGTTGGGTGTTCGTCTTGTAATCGGAAGGTTGCCGGTTCGAGCCCTGGCTCGGACAGTCTCGGTCGTTGTGTCCTTGGGCAAGACACTTCACCTACTGGTGAGGGGCCGATGGCACAATATGGCAGCCTTGCCTCTGTCAGTCTGCCCCAGGGCATCTGTGGCTACAACTGTAGCTTGCCTCCACCAGTGTATGAATGTGAGAGTGAAAGAATAGTGGTATTGTAAAGTGCTTTGAGGGGTACTGAAAAGCATATATATAAATACAATCCATTATTATGGTTTTAAATTATCAAACCATAAAATGTCTCTGAAAGTGTAAGAGTATTGCCAGAAGTCTCCAATAGATTAAGAACCTGAAACTTTTTTTTTCTTGCATGTCCCGTTTGGCTCTTTTGCCATCAGAATTATTGTCTAAAGGCAAAGAAAGATGCCCAACGGATTTACTTTACCAAATGGAAAAAAAAGAAGAACCTGAAACTTTTTGAAGAAATCACAACCAGTCAAAATTTAAACATGTTGTAATTACCCAAGCAAAATTCCATCACTGGTGTAAGCCTTCGGTTTTAGCTAATATCCACATTGTCTTTAAAATGTTTTTATCTTGAACAGTTACAAAGTTTTCAGTTTTTAAAAATTTGCCTTTAGCATTTTTCCTTGAAACAAAACCTGTTTGCAGCTGTATGTGGGTTCCTACATCGTAGTGTATTAGAAACATTACATGCTTTAAAAGAGTCAAACCTTATTTGTATTCTTCTTGTTTCTTCTTAATAAATGAAGACAACACATGGCACAGTCCAAAAGAACTTCATCTGCATCCGGCAACAATATCAACATAACTCACTGGAATTCTCTTTATGATAATCTGGAACTGAGAACATTTCGATACACAGACCATAATGTTCTAGACTTAGAAAAGGATATAGACCCGGAAAATAATTTCTTCTACAACATCAGCTGTAACTGCTGCTACTTCACTGATGAACAGTTTAAGCACACCATCAACACGGAAAATAAATTAGCAATAATCCATTTTAATAGCAGAAGTCTGTATGCCAACTTCAACAATATAAAGGAATATCTAAATGAGTTGACAAATCCATTTGGAATTATTGCCATTTCTGAATCATGGATCAATGCGGAGAAAGGAATGGACTTTGGACTGGAGGGATATGAAGAAGGAACAAGAGTGGAGGGGGAGTAGCTGTGTATGTGGATAAAAACCTAAACTACAAGGTGGTAGAAAGTATGACAACTGTAATTGATAATTTACTAGAATGTATAACAATTGAAATTTATAAGGAAAAAGAAAAAAATGTAATAATTAGCTGTATATATAGAACACCTGGCTCTAGTATTCAAGTATTTAATGACTTCATAGAGGAAATATTCTCTAAAACAAATCAAAAAGTTATGTTTATCTGTGGTGATTATAATATTGACCTGTTGAATCCAAAAAAGCATAAAATGAGCGACGAATTCCTAAACACTATGTACAGTTTGAGTTTACATCCTAAAATAACCAGGCCTAGCAGAATTACACCACATTGTGCCACCTTACTTGACAATATTTTCACTAACAATATGGAAAACAACATTGTGAGCGGATTATTAATTAATGACATCAGTGATCACCTACCAGTTTTTGCAGTTTATGACACTAATTATAAGAAAAATCAGCATGAAGAACAACTGA